GTGACGTCATCGCTGGGGATGATTAAAGAAATTTTGGTTAGCGTTTTACCATCTACATGATATTCCTAATATAAATACGAAATTTGATAAAAATCGGCCCAGTACTTTCGGAGATTATCTGTCTAATAAAAATCCGTGACGGCAGACAGATGGACAGGCAGACAGACGGAAACGGGAAACCTATTTCTTCGTCCTGTAGGAGTCATGAAAGGTAAAGAAAACGTAAAAGTAGAGAGTTGGCCGACGGACTCAATTACAATACTTCCTTGGCTTACGCTCGGGAAGTAAAAATTGTATGTGTACGTAAAAAGCGTGAATATAGCATCATTTTGATTAACATAAAAGAATTTAATGACCAAGGGCAGTGGTCTCAAATTAATATCTCTAGAGATCGAACTCCGATGCAAGTTCCTTTTTAACTAACTTATAAACGTTATAAGTTAGTTAAAAAGGAACTAGACCATCGCATTGCTCAAGACGCAAGAAATTTAAGGGTAAAGTATCGTAATGGTATCCCCTGTATTGCTTCATTGGAAAATTAGATGTGTCCAGCAGGTTTTCCATTCCTTGTAACTTGTAACTTATACAAGGTTTTTATAAATGATTATAGGATCGAAGTAGGTCATGAAAACGTGCCGCCTCTCAGTTTTGCACTTTACTAAATGCCCAAGGATGCACGATAAATACCACACGCATCTGTATAACTGGTTGCCAAAATGCTTCATATCTTATTAAAAAATAAACTAATTCATTACAATAAAAAAAAAAACAAATTTGTTGCGGTTGAACATCACAGTAACCGTAACAGATGATTTGATTCCCAGTTTTCTGATCCATGATTGCAGATATGTACTACCTTAATCTCTCTCCATCATAATAAATTTGGTTCTTTAGACCAGTACGTTTTTCGATTGTTGGAAAATCTCTTGAATAATCTACTCTTTAAAAACGGATATTCATCGGTACTCAGTAATAGTCGATCTATTTTTATTTTGAATGACCTTGCTAAGATTTTTGAACTGGTATTATATAACTTTATATACAGTAAGTTGTCTACAGTTATTAGTTCTAGACAACACGATTTTAGGACTGGAAGGTCATCAGTCTCCAATCTGGCTGTTTTGACACAAAATCTCAGTGATGCGCTCGATAAACGTGACAAGATGACGTTATTTATACTGATTTTTGACCTCATTTCCCATGACTTTCTTCTTCAAAAACTTAATAATCTCGGATTTTCTTCTGCGCTCCTTAAATTGATTGAATCATACTTGACCAATCGTAAGAATTAGGTATCTATTTTACAATGGATTTACTTATTTGCATTTTTGTTCGAACTCAGGTGTCCTTCAAGGGTCAAATCTTGGCCTTTTCCTTTTTGATTTATATACTAATGATCTTCTCGAATACTTAGAACGTTGCTTTTTAAATTACCCCAACGATTTAAAAAATTATTCTAAAATTTCAAAGTTATCTGATGCTCTTCGTCTGCAAGCTCAATTCATCAAAATTGTCGAATGCTGTTATTTAAACAAACTAGGAATTAATATGCAAATGTTGCTTCATATCCTATTTTCGCACACAACATTTTTTTTTATTTTATACTTGTATATCAGATTGGAGGAATACCTGTACAACGTAAATCAACTTGGTGTTACATCTGACAGTCAGTTGACGTTTGATCAACACATCACCAATATTTGTAGCGTGTCAAATAAATGTTTGGGATGTGTAATGAGGATTCCGAAATTATTTAATAATATTGACTTAATTAAGATTTTCTTCTTTGTTTATGCCTCCTTAAAACGGTATCCAATATATATGTGTGTCAACAGAGGCTAGTAGATAAAGTACAAAGAAAATTTTTGAATTTTTTGTTGTTTAAACTGGATAGTACTTATCCGATTTGGGGACCAGATTCGAATGAACTTTTCACAGATATTTACATGCTGCTAGTATTTTGGCTAAACACATACACAACATAATTGACTGTCCTTGCCTGTTATCTGCCATCTAATTTAAAGTTCCGAGGGTTACGTCAAGACATATAAATACTTTTCGACTCCCTACCGCTAGAATCAACGTCTTATGTCGTGTTATCACTATGTGCCGTTGTGCTGATAAATGTATTGATGATATATTTTGTTAATTTCAATTTATTTTTATTTGTTAACTCTATGCTTGAATGTTTATTTTAATTTTTGTTATATTATAGATTGTCCTGTTATTGAGATTTTTCTGTAGAACAATAAAAATAGATTATTATTATGTTGTTAAAATAAATTCACAGATTACCTCGTTGTGGACTGAAAATAGGCTCCATATCACATACAAACAAAGCACATGAAGTAAGCACAACGGAGACACATTCAATTAAATAAAAATTAAAAGGTGGTCTCGGAAAACGCTTCGAGACTAAATGTTCAAATTCAAGCTGTAAGAAAATATACATAAAGCTCTTCCGCTTTCGAGTCTACGCCGATATTAATTTAACAGGATAATAACTTTCGAGTCTAATCTCTTAAAATGAATCAGTGTTTAGAACTAGTTTAAATACTACTAATAAACTATTTTAAATCTCGAATAAACAGTTATGAAGTGTGTATAATATCATAACTCAGATAAAATTTATCCAGAATGTCGTTATTAAAATCAGTTGAGTCTAAATAAGTGATTTTCCTGCCATGTGTTTTAAGTATGTGAACAAGATTGTAGTTAAATTGTCTTAGAACCATGAACAGTTAAAAATAGTAACATGAAAGGTGAATTTACAAACAAAAGACCAAAAAAATCGTTAATCAAGAGGTGTAAAACTAATTATGCTAGTTGGGGAATTGTGGCGTCGAGTGCGATTTAATTTTGTTTAAACAATTACACTTTGGTCAAGTTACAATAAAAACTCAATGTATCAATTTTTAACACATGTTTACACTAGCACTGCAACACAAGAACTGCGGTCAAGGGGCTCATTTTAGAAACTACTTGCCCTGTCTTACAAAACCCTAACTACCAATCCATAAGGATGGCATTCCGCTCAACATGAAGGTTAACTACCTACATCAAAGGTCAAATGAGTTTTCGTGTCGTAGTTTTCTGTTTTCTCAGTGCGAAATTTAATTTTTAAATTGGGACACCATCGTGTCAACAAGAAAACTAGTAGTACTTACACCAACGATAGTTTGGAAGTTTACCATCTGTCAAACCTTGTCAGAAACGAAACACGTCTAAAAACATAGGGTCAAAAAATTAATGATATTTAAGCGTTTGCTCAACACAGCTTGATACAACATGAAATGACGATTGAAAAAAAAATCGACTTTTAGTTGTGTAAAAAATCACTCTTGATTTGATCAGTAAAAAATAGAACCTATTCATTTTTTTTGTGTAATCTCAAATAAGTAATTCTGAAAAATCAATGCCTTGATAAACAACGAGTATAGACTCATAATATTTTATATATTTTTGATGGAATTTATTCCGTAAAGTTTTGAAATGACGTCACCAAATTTTAACGATTTACAATGCTACAATGATCTTCTCTTGGCATTATGCTTTAATTCACGACTTGTTTTCACTATTAGGTATCAAATCATAAAAGAAATATTCAAAGTTCAAATGATTATTATTAATTACCAACCAGTTTAGTATAACACACATAATTAAATATACAGGTTTAAATCGACCTTGATGTCGTGTCACTTTGAGCATGGGTGTATGCAGTGGTTAAAAGTTAAAAATACATATGTTTAGTTTCCTTTTTCAACCTTTGTCCTATTTAACTAGATGGAGTAGGTTTGTCATTGAAAACGCACCCAGTATACGTCATTCCTGTCAAAAATTAGAAGTCATACAAGGAAACGTGGTCACCTGATTCCTGCCATTGATAATAATAAATCGTACAAGTAGGTGAGCTCATTTTTAAGCAATAGCTTTTCTAGCATTAATTTATCATTCATTTATTTGTATGTTAGAAGATACTTTTTTCAAGAATGACTCATGCAACTTCTCTAAAATTCTGCCAAGAGATTGACGCTGTGATTATAAGTTTGTTCTGACTAAGTAATTATTGAATTCTTACAAAAACTTATTAAGTAAATCTTACACTCAAATGTGTATTGTAAAATCGTTCCTTTTGAGATTATTCTTCGACCATGTTAAAAAACTTTTGCTCTGAATTATTTTATAAAATGTCATAAAAACTACTTATTTATTGGAATTCACTAAAATAGTATAGCGAATTAGAGAAGATTTATTACATATAAGTAATACACTGCCATTCGTTTTTGTACGTACGAACGTAGGACATTTATCACACGTACATTTAAAATAAGCGGTATTAAGTTCTCCCCTTTTGTTGTACATTTTCTTTACCTCTATTTAGTTCTTAAATAACTCAAAAATAAAATTTTCATTATTAACAGTTTCAATTCACAGCCTTGAAACAGTCAAAATATTTTTTAATTCAATCTAATACAGAATTGCCACTTTATCTGACATTAAAAATGACTCTAAGCTGATTTACAGGTACGAATGAAAAAATATCACAAGCATTTATTATAATTAAAATGTTTGCTTTGACATGAGATGCCTACATTTGTCGTACCCAAATTTGGAGTTGTGAAACATAAACTACATTAAATTTTTTTTTTTAAGTTACAACCCAACAAAACTTATATCATGCATATTCAGTAGACAATTAACAGTGTGTACCTAAACTCACGTTACGCGTACTTATAAATAACAACAACATTACAGAATCCTGTTGTTGGAAACTCATAAAGGGTCGTTAACATCTACCACAAGATAATAAATTTTAGGCAAAAAATCTGTTATCAATCATTCTGGGCTGATATCTACGTTTTTAAATTTATATTCACTAACGAAGCATTTTTTTTTTCCAATGACAAGAGGTATTTCATATTCATACACATTTTTGACCATATATAGTAATTTAACTTTATCCGTTTACTACAACAATACCTATTTTGGAAAACCAGATAACAGGATTAATAGGATAGGAGATGGCAAAGATAAGACTCCCATTAAAATAACGACTCGACGAAATTCTAATCAGTGATATACTTACGTGTTACCTAAAAATATCATGTGAAGCGAAAATTGTTTGCAATTTACTTTACAGAAATGAATCAAGTCTGCATTAGTGAAAAAGAAATCCATTCTTGGTTATCAGCAATTTTTGACCAAGAAATTATAGAAAATGCCTCAGTTACTATTCTCGGGAACTCCGAAAAGGGCAATGGACAATGTGGTGAAGTAATTTTTGTAACTATCACCGACACTCATAAAAACACATCAGATGGAGAATACAACCTCGCCATTAAAAGCAGTAAATCAGACACAGCTTTAATGGCCCAAACTCCAGCTATTCGAGACGCATTTAAAAACGAAATCTACTTATATCAGAAAATTTTTCCCGCTTTCAGAAAGTTTCAAATTGACAGAGGAATCACGAATCCTTTTAACAGCGTACCAAGATATTATGGCAGTTACAGTGACGACGTTAAAGATGTTATCGCTTTAGAAAACTTGAAAAAAAATGGGTACGTTATGTGGGACACCTGTACGCCGTTGACGAGAAAGCACATCGATTTGGTGGTGGAAGAGTACTCAAAGTTCCATGCTGTATCTGTTGCAATGAAAGAACTTCAACATGAAGCATACCAGCAGTTAAAAGACGGAATAGTTACTGACGCTTTCAAGAAGTTTTTTCGCTCATATAGTGCGGTTATTTATTTTAAAAACGCCGTTGAGCAGTTGCATGATTTATTGAAGGATGATCTTGATGAAGATATTTTGAAGAAGTGGTTAGGTTTTAAAGAGCAGGTGCATTCTATTTGTTTCGATATGGCCCCGAGTGACGACGACTTAGAAGTTATAACTCATGGAGATTGTTGGAACAATAATTTTATGTACAGATATGAGGTAAGAGAAAGTGAATGTTTTACAATTTTTCCATTATATTTTTATTAATAGAGTGATGACGATGACAAATCTTCAGTGCGTGAAGTAGCAATATTAGATTGGCAAATTTCCAGGATTTCTTCTCCAGTGGCTGATTTGTCCTACTTTTTATTTGCCTGCATTTCAGAAGAAGATCTCGCCGAGATTGATCATATTTTGACAAATTATTATGAATCTTTTTGTGATTACTTAACTCAGCTTGGTAGCACCTTCAAAGCAAAATACTCCTTCAACAAGTTTTCAGAGGAGTGGAAAAAGTTTAGTAAATTGGGTGTAATGATGTCAGTTACGCTTCTAAAAAATTCCTACATTCGAAGAAAAAATATTTCTGATTTAGTTAATAAAAATGATTACAAAAATAGGGCAAAATGTATTGTCACATATGCTGTAAAATCAGACATAATTTGAAAACGTAACGTAAAAACGAATAAAGTTATTTTAAAGAACTTTCTGTTTCCTGATTTCTCGACGGAAATCCCAAACCCAAATTTTCCCCAAATCCCGTAGTTCCTTCTCACAGTCAAACGTGAAATTTCCGTTTTCTGCGATTATCTTTACGAAAGCGCGAAAATGATCAGTATCCGTCTATAAATGGCAATATTGAGTCTCATTATTGAGTGCGATAAGTTAATTTTACTAGTGACTTACTTTATATTTTAGTTTCCTTTGTGAGATGAAAGAAGCAATATCATTTGTAGAAGTCGAACAAAAGGCAGCTGAGCTCAAACCGATTTCTAATTACTGCGCTTGCCGGCTGGCGTTGCGATGCTCGCTAGTTTTCCTTTGAGCCACATAATTACCCACAACACCCTCAGGCTTTCACTTCTTCGTGTATGCGACTGCTCGGCGTTCTCCATACACCCTCTTCATTACCAACTTTTTTCTTTTTAAATCTCATTGCACGCGCCACTGAATGGATGCCTCCTTCTGAACTTCGGCGATTAACTGGCAGGTAGTCCCAAGAAAAAAATGTTTAAAATTTTTTATTGAGCTTCTTTTTGATAACTTTCAACTGATACGACACGAACAGCTTTCTTTTGTATTTGATATAGCTAAGTATTTTCTCTAAATTTTAATTTCATGAATATTATAATCGTTTTGGCTTAAATAACTACACTATTCTATTCGTTACGTTGTAATTTTAAAATTGTTTGATAATCTTTACCAGTTACTAAATTTTCCTGAAGGATAAATCCTTTACAAAGATTAATCATCCACTTCCGTGCAAAATCGGATAATTGACGAAAATTAGCACTCGAGTTTTCTACACCTTAAAGGGATGTATTGACTAAATATAAATTTCAAAATTCGACGGATTTAATCTGAAACTCAATTTGTTCCTTTGGCACATAATTTCATATCGTTAGCATAATGCTAAATTTGTTTATGCATTTAATATTTTGAACTCGACACAAATAAATGCCAAACACCGATCTTAAATTAATAAAAAACAAACATGCACACGTACTAAGCAGTTATTCTGCCAATTTGAAATAAAACCGGCAAATTATTTGGGATAAGCTGGGGACAGTCACGACATAAACTCTCAAAGCTAATGGTTTTCAGTGACCAGTCACTTGGATCAAGGCATCAGTTAACATAATGCAAATTCTTTGTTTGAATCGTTGATAAAGTCTGCCATAATTTAGCACAATGTAAATTCTTTGTTTGAATCGTTGATAAAGTGTGGCATAATTTAACATCAGGTAAATTCTTTGTTCTGGCAGAGGCCATGTTGAAAGAGTATTTTCAAACCGAGCACATTTTTGAACTGTAAAATCTCATTGAACAAATTAACAATATTGTGGGACGTGCATTTTATTCCTTTGACTTAGACCATTATTTGCACAGCGCCACAGGATTGATCGCATTTCTGGGAGACATATTTTTGACGCATTTTTTTTAACGTCGCATTCGAGCGACGCCATTTTGAACTTTCAGATTGCCTGCTATGTTTTTTTTGTGTTTGTTTAGGGGGAATGTAAAACGATGGCCCACAATGCGGCGTGTAACTTCACTATTAAAAGTTAACCAATAACTCGAATTGGCATAAAATATTAAATTCATGTAGTTTTGTTAACTTTGCAATTTTTCACCTCATACAATAATTTTTCTCTATCTCACAATTTTAAACTCAGTAATTTTCTTTGCTGTATAATTTAAATTGAACGTAAGTTTTTCATGCTCCACAGTTCCTAACCTCACCTAATTTTTTGTCTGCGCAAGTTTTACTTCACACAAGATTGTTTTTTTTGTTTTATAAATATTTGCTAGTTTTTATTGTGTAAATATTTTGTTGATTAATGTTTCCATCATATACCTAAATTGTCTGATGTCCAATTTTATTCTCAGATAAGAATTCTTTGCTGTTTAAAAATTTCTAAGAGAGTGTATGGCGAATTCAAATGTTCGTTATGGTTCTTTTTGAAACTTAAAACTTGTTCAGTTATCGTTAATATTAAACTTATAGAAACTGAACATTTAAATGGAATTGAGGTAAATAGCACAATAATACGTGGCGGAAGCGGAGTGCGCGGTTCCTTGTCGAACTGGCGCTCGCGCCATCTGTACAAAAGACGCAGGTTTAGAATATAAGTCAGGGGAGCGATCGGAATGGCCTGACGCTGTCAGCTTATTTATAGCTGTAATTTCCAAACACGTGTTTGCGACCGTAACGGCTTGTTAGCGCGGCACGTTTCTTCATTAGATAGCGGGGTGCTGGGCGGCAAGTGCTTGCCGATAGGATAGCGGTCGTGGAGGGAGAACAGCCACAACCAGGAGTCCCAAACTCCGCTCATGCTACAACGCCCCCTATGAGTAATTTTTGATGTGTTCTAGAATGAAATTGATATAGTTCGATCGCCACACTTTTGTAGCGCCTGGTGCCGCTGCCGCTGTATAGAGTTTTATTAAAATTTTGTTCTCTTTTTGACTGTCATAATTTTAAATTTGCCGCCATACGTCCGTAATGACTTGTGTATTGCATCCAGTTACTTTAAATCCGATTTTTCTTTGTTTTTATTAAATTTGTGATATTCAGATTTTTGCATTGATTCAGAACGTTTAATTTGATTCCATTCAAAGTTAGGCAAGTTTTTTTTGTAGCTGAGCATTAAGCGGTGTCTTCAACCGGCACAACTTAGTTGCAGCTTTTTTTCCTTTTTTTTTTGTCAGTGGAGTAATAAATAATTTTGTGTCCTCCATATATTTTGTGTTTTATTTAGTGGTACTTTTCCAACCTTTTTCAATTTTTCGCGGGCCTTTCAAATTTTTTCACATGTCAATTTAAGGCGGGATCTTTGGGTTATCACAATACCTAGTTTCCAGACCACTAACTTTAATTTTGCGCATGTGGATTTTCTGAAAAAAGTATAAAAGTGTAACGAAATTTTACAATTGATTTTTATATGATCGAAAAAAATCAGGAAATTTATTTTTTAAATAATGATGTTGGCAACACCAATCTCGTTTCGTTTGACAGTTACAGTCAAATGAAGTGTCAAATACCCAAGATGCCATCATCATTTGAAAAATAAATTTCATGGCCCTCTAGAGGACTTTTTTCGATCGTATAGTAGCATCGGTGGGCGAAAAAAAAATGCAACAAATTTGACAAATGATTAAACTCAAAAAATGGAAATTTGTATCATGTGAACTTGGCTTTTACTTAGAATCGTTAAAATACGTTAAAGATACCATGATATACAGGGTGTCTCAGAAATAAGTACATTAATTTTAATCAGTTATAGAGCTCATTGAACTCAACAACTTTTTTTAGTAGAGTTTTGTCAAGAACTTTTTAATTATCAAGTTAAAAATTGTTAAAGTTATACCCGAATTAAGGTTACCCGCCCATGGATCCTCAGTCACCCATGGACACTAATAATTATTGTAATTAATAATTTATGGTCAAAAACAGTTACTAGGATACGTATTTTCCTAATCTTGTCAATGTGACAAACATTTAGAGATAAATTGAAAATCCTGCTCCCTAATGGCGTACGGAATTTCATCGGCCCAAATGTGGGTGTTGAACACCTTCCCTCGTGTAACCGACCTCATCAGTTGATGGTATAAGAGACACAAAATTTGCTTGTTCGTTTATTTTTCTATTAACCCACTCACAAAAGTTTTGCCTACGTGGTAAGTGTGTTAGTTTCAATAACTGAACTTTCTGGTCCTGAAAGGGGTACATTTGTTCTCTGAGTATCCTCCAAATACTACTCTCTGATACATCACACTAGACAGTGATGCGTGCTAGTGCCCGGTCGAGCTTCGACACTCTTCAAAACAGCCTCTTCAATATTAGCAATTCTATTACTACGTAACTTACCCCGATCCTGAGGTGCAGGTTTAAAAGATCCGTACTCTCGAAAATTCTGCAACGTTCTTAAAACTGCGCACATTTGGCAGACGATTTGGGAGGTTTTCTGAAAAAATTCGTTGGGCGCGAGTGCCGTTTCCCCGAGCTTCACCGTACGTTAGTTAAAACGATATCGGTGCATTCCAGATTTGAAAACAAAGCCATTTCAACACATTTCGTCTATAAATTAGAAATCTGTGCCAAACAAACTTTAAAGAGACAACGTTTAATAAAAACATTGACATAAAAATGATTGTCAGTGTCAAAACGGTTGCTACGGTACCTTCTTCATTGTTGTAGTGTTGCTATTGTTTAAGTTATTATTTAAGGTGAACATAGACGGCTCGTGAATATATGGGTGGGAAAATTCGAAATTCGACTTGAGTTTTCGAAAAAATGCTAGATAAAAAAGTTGTTACGTTTCACGAGTTCTGTTACTGGTTAAAATTAATGTACTTATTTCTGAGACACCCTGTATATAGATGACAACTTGCCAGTTTGTTTTTTCCTAATTGAAAAATTGCTCGAAAAATACTACATTTTACATTTTTTGTTCAGCAATATTTCATAAACTTAATAAGGTATATGAAACCATTTTAAAATTAGAACATGTATATTTGGACCGGAAATTAAAATTTGGTTGCTGTCTAAACGACAGGGCATAGAGACACCAAACACGTGATCTCGGAAGTTATATCTTTCATGTGATCATCACATATCTTGGTCATTTATTCAAATCAAACACATTTCTACGTGCCATTCTTCCGATGTGTAAACAAAGACTTGAAATTAATTAAAGCTTGTTTTTATTGCTGAGAGGTCATTTTTTCTCGTTGGTTATCTGCTTTAAATATATTTTATTTTTCACTCGTATATAATGTTTGTTTTATATCCATGATTTGATAAACGTAAAGCGGCATCTTATATCCGGGGCACAATGAGCGGGCATAAAGAGTTATTATGCCCTCTCATTATGTCCTATTTTGCTAAACCGAATTAAACAGAAATTTGAAAAATTATTCTTTATTTAACTACATATTTATTTTTTGACAACTTATTTAATTATGGAAATAGAAATTACAATTTACAAACTTGCTATTCATACCAAATTTTTCAGGTAAACTTAAACCCTTCGAGGGTTCTTCTATTGGAATTATTTCTGCCTCTGTTTCCATTCTGCTAGCACCTAATAAAATATTATATAAAAATCCAGAATTATGTGTATTTGGTTCACTCACCTCTTTGTTGTATGCAGAACTCTTCTCGGTTATTTTTGTCTTCGGCGTTGGAGGAAGTCCGATATTTTGTTGTCACAGAGCTGGCAATTAAATTGGCCGTTTTATTTTTTGACGCCACACTTTCTGCAATATAGCCTTCTGCGACTGTGGTACTTTTCCATTTTTCATTAATTTTAAGGTTTCAAATGAAGCACCTGCCTCCACCAACAATGTTGCAGAGGTGCGTCGCAAACAATGACCCGTGTATTCTTTAGCATTTTCTAAATTCAAAAAAATAATAACGCAGCCTTTATCTTCAATATCGTCCACCTTGAGCTTAACCATCTCATCTCTCCTTAATCCTCCAAAGAGACCCATCACAACAACTACCTTCAATGCATAAAATATTCGTATTTAAATACTTACAATCATAAAAAAATAACTTAGTTTACCTTATGAAGTAAATATCTGTCGTCGGGAGCATCTTTTAGAAATTGCACGACTTGTTCGCCAGTCAAAACTCGGGATTTTTTTGCCACATAACCTTTTGAGTTTTTTTTTTAAAAAGTTGTCAAACGATGATAATTAGAAATATCTATGTTGTCATTTACTCTTAAAGTTGCCTTGACCATAGAGTATTTTGACCATAAGGAACTGGGTGAATATTTTTCTGACTAAAAATGAAGAACACAGCTAAATAATCATTTTATTAACTGAATAACACACCAATTCTTGGAAGTAAGCCATCATAATTGTCTCGCTGATAATATTGACTGAATTTTCTATCTTCCAATTAACGAAAATTTTGTATTCTTTTTCGTATATTGATCTTGATGTTCCAAGTAACACATTTTCATTGGCTTTTTGCGCTTTCTTCAAAATGTGTTCTGGAATTTCACAATTTTCCTCATTCATTTCCGCGGTCGAAAACATACGTGTTGACACTGTGAATAGACGCCGTGTTTGCAACAACAATCATAGAATCTCCTTGACAACAAAATCAACGCCATCACACAAATTTTTATTTACGAATTAATTATATAAATCAACGTTTTTTTTCTTAGATTTTCTCGTAAAAAATAAAAGTTTGTATGCACCACGGGCACAACTTGATGTTTATAAATCTCGGGCAACTTACAGAGGCCAGAGGCCCTCGATTTTGTAAACGTTGCCCTCGAATATAAACATCTTCTTTGTGCCCTTGGTGCATAAATAACTATTACATTATCGTACTTGTGGAGTTTGCAAAATCCCAATAATTTGCGCCCCTACGGCGCAGGAGCTGGGGGGGAGGTGTTATTTAGGCCGCTGGTTTTTATAATATGGAAGTCATCGCAAACTCAAATTTTATTATTTTTCAAAAAAGTGGTATTTGGACTTGTATTTCAAGAGCGAGTGAAATTCTGTCGAAATAAACTTCGAGCAATTTTTTATACTCAGATGTCGAAAATTGACTTTTGCGTATTTGCCCTTGTATTTTTAACCACATTTTTTTAAATAAAAAAGCTAAAAACCAAAAGCATCGTTGTTTGAACTCCTCCTTTACACATTATGAAACATGACGGTACCAATTTTTTCTGCGTAGAGAAGTAAAGTAGTAGGGGAAGCCGGGGTAATGGCGTTCACTTAAGGAAAAAACGCTTTATTTTTTTTATATTTTGATTTATAATAAAAGTATGAAAAAATAACAAAGGTTTAACTATTTAGTAATCAACATTTTAACACAAAACGTAGTTATCTTTCACTGATAATAATCAGTGGAAACACTTACAAAAAAAAACAGGTTTGAGCGCCAATGCCCTTGATTATGGGTAATGCCACTCAGGTAAAGGGGTAATGACGCTCAAATTTTGCTTAACTGCATAAATTTTATTAGAAATAATAACTATGAGTAAACATCAGATTTTAGTCTTAGGCACATAAATCACAGATGTATCCTTTTGGAGAATCCCATCCAGAGCACATGGCATGAGACCATAGTCCGCATATGGTACAGCGATACCACATCTCGTTATTTCGTCCAAATTCTTCGCAAATATTGCATTTGTTATAGTTGTTTTCACCGTCCACGTCCAGTTCATCATCACTGTCGTCGTTACAAAAATTTTGATATTCTTCATCTTCGGTCTCCGAAGAACTTTCTTGCAAAACTTTGCGTTTGCAAGATTTTCCTTTTATATTCTTATTATTTGCTGCTTTTTTAGTGTTTGTTTTGTAATTTTTTTCAGTCTTATTGTTTTTTGCTTTCTTTTTCTTTTCTTTTTCTTCTAAAATACTTTTCAATGGAGTTGATGTTAATATAGTAGCACGTTGTTTTCTGTTCCTTCGATCTGGCTTTGAAGATGGGGCAATAGTTGAGGTCGTTGCTATTTCAGCAAAAGACACAAGAGTTTGTCTTTGTTCGTCGAAAATTGCCTGATTAGATGGGCCAGGAACAGGTGATTCAGATTCAGGGCACTGAGAACCAAATGCAGGATTTTCAAGTTCTTCGTTTGGCGTCTTAAGTAATGGACCAGACAGAGAGGAAGTAGCTGTTTGATTCGCAGTCATGTCACGAGGCTATGCACCTCCAAGATTGCCGACATTTTCATCTTCGTTTTGAGTAGGTTGGTTTGAATCTTGAACCATCAGCGATGCTGCCAAAAAGTCTTGCTCGGTAAAAATATTTGGATTCAAAGGGTATATTCCCGTGGCTCGGAATCCAGCTTCTCCCTGGCTTATATTTGCAACTTGTGCATATGCTTTGTTGAATAAACATGCAACATCATATGGAGTTATTTTAGCCATCAAGTGTGTCTTCATGTGCCTGTTGCATTCGTGTCTATAAGCAGCCTTCAGGGGTCCATAAAAAGACACATCAAGAGGTTGTGTTCTGTGAGAGCTGTGTGGTGGGATCGAAAGTACTACGATGTGATTTTCTTTGCAATAGTTAAAAGCTGGAAGCGAGATGTGACTGCTATGGTTATCAAGTATTAACAGCACAGGAGATTCTTGCGTAGGCTTGACATATGCTGCAAAATGTTGAAGCCAGTCGACAAATAATTGTTCATTTATCCAGCCGTTCTTGGAGTTGGTGTACAATGCACCAGGTGGTCCATCTTTTTCTAATAATGGTGTCATTCTCTGTCTAGGAAATATGAACATTGGTGGTATGTAGTTCCCAGACGCACTCATGGCACACATAACTGTAATGTTTGTGCCTCGTTCGCCGCTCGTAACTGCCCCTACTCTACGTTGGCCTTTTTTTGCAAGCACTTTTCCTGGATCTGTGACGGTTGTGATTCCTGTTTCGTCAGCATTGTAAATGTTATTGAGAGAGAACCTATGCTTCTCCATCAGATCACCAAGCATATTATAGAAATGAGTTATTTCTTCTTTGTTAAAGGCAGACACCCTATTTAAGCTCGTTGCTTCAGCTTTGCGTACAGCAACAGAAGGGTTGCGTCTCATAAAACCTTGTACCCAGTCCTATCCTGCTGTTTTGCTAGTTTTATCAAAATTGTTTTTGATGTTATTGAGCTCTGCATATTGATAAACAAATTTACGCAAATCTGCGACGCTCAGTCCATAGTATAACGATCCCAGAAACTTAACTTGTTCGGCTATTTCACTTTCTTGCTGTTGATTAAAAACTGGCTTACGACCCAGTTGTGGACTGCTCATGTTGTCATTCTTTAGTCTATCTCTCAACGTAGTAAATGGGATGTTGTGTGTTTTCGCTGCTTGCCTTTTGGACATTCCCCTTTCAATCGCAGTTTTAGCGTGCAGCAGGTCTTCTTCGCTCCAAGCCGCTTTGGCGGTGGTCCTTTGACGATATCTGGGCATATCTGTTAAAAAAAACATATTATATCAGTTGGGGGTAATGGCGTTCACTTGAGTGGCATAACCCCAAACGATCGTTTTGTATAAAAGTTGACATTTTCAAACATTCAGCAGTAATTGTTTAAAAGTGTTTACGTTATCGCTAAACAGAATGTTTTAGTATCTAAAATAATAATACCAATAATACATAAGTACTAAAATTCTGGACTTACCGACAAAAACATTCGGCGAAAAATTAGATCAGTGTGGCCGCAAACAAACATATGCACCTGACTCTCTCGTGTTGCGAGGGAACTGAGATTACTTAGCGCTGCATGTTTACGCATCACATTTCCCGCGCTTTAGCCCGAGTGACGTGTTTCTACGCATCGTATTTATCAAGTTATTGGGCTGAGCGGCATTACCCGGTAAACGACATTACCCCTGCTTCCCCTACTTTCGCTTTTATCAAATATGCATGACTTTTCCTCCAACAACGAAAAAACATTTTCTAACCTCAAAACCACTTGCAAAACCAGTTATTATTCTGTATGGTCGCCTAAATAACGTTGTGTATATCTCGCTCAAAAAGAGGCATAAATACTTATAAAACAATACTTAAGGTAATAAAATTAGTTTTAAATCTTTGTCATAACCTTAATATGGGGAGCTTCACCTCAGATGGTCACATGATAAGATATTTCGATCAAGAGTTTATAAAATAAACAAAGGAATGAAATTGCTGTTTTTATTAATGCAGACCTTTACACATGAATCTTTGTGTTGTCAATCACGCTTAGACATTGCACGCATTTGTAGTGGTACAGACGACAAGCTAGGAAAAAAAATCTCTACAAGTGTAGCTAAAAATATTCGCTCTTCAAATTTCAAAAAACATGACATTTTGTAACTCAACAAATGACCTTAAAGTTTGACATTGCAGCCGCTCCTCAACAACGGCAGAAAAAGACTTTTTCTGCCGCTACAGACGTCAGAAAAAGTAAAACCATAGCAACAGTATCCCAAGCACGCTGAAATTAATCACTTTAAAAGAAACACACGTAGAAGTCAAAGTAAAATCGTTCATAAGTAACTTCGTGGACTGCTCCCGATTTTGTTGGCCCAAAATTCTCTGTGGCTGTTGCAGCGGCATTGTAAATCCCACTCACTCATACTAAATGAGTCTGTCGCAAATATTTCTCTTTTAATGGGAAATAATAAATAAATTAAGCAATGTTTACCCGCAAACTGTTCTGAAATTTTGTTGTTGACAAGGAAACCATAGTAACAGCATCCAAATATAACTTAATTCATTCATTTTAAAATTTGAAAATACCATACTTGTACCATTTAATTGCAGACGTTTGAATTTAAAAAAGTGTTCGAAGGTTATTAGACTCCTGAAATATAGTAGAACAAATTCAGCTTTTTCGAAAGATTATAAAATGTGGTTTTGTGAATTTTATTTTTTTATGATAACTAATAAGTCAAAATAAACATATGCATGTAATGTTAAAATACAGGTAAAGAAGCATGCTACACCTTTGTTTCGAGTGACTTTTTTCATTACAAAATTTTGTGAGGACGTCATCAACATTTTTACAGTGACACATCAATTTGGATAGATGTAGTGCAATACTAATAATAACAGTACTGTATTCCCAAATTTTCGGGAAAATGGACTGAGTCGTTTTTGATTTAATCAATGCAATAAACTCCTTATTCGTTAATTTTTTTTGTCACCCTATATAATTCTAAAAAATGTGGGTTCATTGATACACCATTGCATATTTCACGGTAAATTTATTAGACACAATTTTGAGACCATCATCATCAATTTTTTGGGAGGGAATAAACAAATAAATTTTGATTAACGATTTATTATCATCCTTAAAACGTCTGCAAGATTTCAGAGCATTCGGTTTTGCAGTTTCAAAGTTAAATTGCAAAATATTGTTATAGTGTTTTCAATTTTTTTTTTCCAAAAATCTGGAGGTTTCGGGTAAAAACTTAACATGGATTCATAAACTACAGGTGTAGGACTAGGTTATTTTACACAATTTAAGACACACTTACTATGTACAATTTTAGGGTGACGTCATCACATAATTGGTGGGGATGATTGGACAAATTTTAGTTTAACCATTTACTATTACAGAATGGTTGATATGCCCATGATAAATTGGAAACCAAATTAGTGCGTTAAATTCAAGTTTTGATCGAACGCGGGAGAAATATAGTACACATAAAGATCGGAGATCAGAGATGTCTTTTGCAACTATATCATTAGTGTAAGTTTTGAGTCGAACAATACGCAACTACTACTCGAAAATGTTAATTTGGATAATTTATATTTTTAATATGCCGGTGCCGAGTTAACCCTTCGCCTTCCAAAATTTTAGAAATGACGCTTTTAGATTTTTTTCTTGTGGTGTCTAGTTAAAGAATCACTTCACCAACTTCAATTAACAGCGTGAAACATTTGGAAAATAGGATAAGAGAAGCCATAGAAACTAATCTCACCTAATATTTTAACACCGGTGAAAATGTTATTTTCGGGATTGGAGTACACACTCCAATGAAAGAAATGTTGGGTAGTATTTTGAATAGTTGTTACATATTAATTAAATAAAATTTTGTTGTAAACTTCAGAAGTCATTCGTAAAATTATGATAATGGCCCAGATTACTATATTTAATACGAGTTTGTTTGGTAAACCTTAAAATAAACAGATTTTGATTTGTAATGATACGTTTCATTTATTCAAATGACAATAGTTCACTTATTGAGCACAAACTTTGCTTACCCTCATCAACCATTCTGTTACACTTGTAGTGAATCACATGAATTTTTAAACAAAATTCCCTGAAAAGTGTATTTACACCATGTTGCGAATGTTTATTTATGGGGTACACTTACCTTTCAAAAGCTAATTTTGGTCAATCTCGGCACTACTATTATACACGGTGTCATCTTATGCATTGTTTGCACGACAGGACTTGGTTTGTCAATTATAATCCTTAAGTTTTCAAACTTTTATTAATTTATATAATTATACATTCTACACCACCTATGAAAAAAATTAATAACAATTATATACACTTTAAAGCAACAAAGACGACCGCCTATGTATATACATCAGTATCATGCCGCACCATTCACTGCTGGTCCGAACCTCCGGTCGGGGGTCTGGACGTCACGTCGTTCGTCTGAATGGCCGCCACCGCCGTCTGGGCACCTGGGGGTGTCTGCGCCGAGGCCGACTCTACCAGCGCCGGTGTCGTCTGGCTGGTCTGACTCGAGGTCACCGGCTGGGCGGTGGTGCCTACCGTCGACGTCGTGTTGGTAGACGTGGCTACCTGGATGTTGGAGGTCTGTGTCGTTGCGGAGGGTCTCACGGCGGAAAAAAGCTCGGTCAGACGGACTGTGATGGTGTTCTGGGGGGCGGGGGCTGGCAGCGTTTCCCGCTGTTGCTGCTGCTGTTGGGTGTTCCGGATTATGAACTGTTGAAAGTGAGCCTGTTGCAGGATCACGGGCAGTTCGTAGTGGTGGAAGAAGTATACCATTGAGTGCTGGAACAAGACGCTGGGTTAATGTGGCCGGCGGAAAGGGGTCATATATATAAAATTGTAACAGAAAGACTGACTGTCATGAATTTTGAAACTTTCAGATGTGTCAAATTTAATTAGTCAAAAGATAATGTGGTATGAACCTGATTTTTCAGAACACAATGGCAACGTATTGTCTATACTAATGGAAAGTTTTCAAATCACAAAATTCTTCCGAAAATTTATGATTGTGTTAATTGACGTTTTCTTGAAAAATTCCCGGACAGGTCAATTTTATTTTTTAAAATGACATTTTTTGATGTCAAGATTTATTTTTGTAACCAGCCGTTTTTGCACAGTGACGTTATCAGTGATTTTGATAACCCTTTTTATCAGTCGTAGAAAAAAGTTTGTACCTTACACAAGCATTTGTTTGTGAAAAAAGAAAAATTCGATTTATTAATAAAATTTGAACAGAAATTTTATACGAAAACAACAACAAAACTACCGTAAATGTTCAAACTGTCATCTAATAAATATTTGGCATATACCAGTATGTGTGTAGTGTGTAAACACTTTGTATTGCTCGTTCAAAGGTATAGTGGAGGATTTCCTCCAGGTAAAACGTTTTCTCTTTCTGTCTTGTGCACTTTGTGTGAGACAAGAAATTACCGAATTTTGAGTATATGTAGAAATTTTATGTCAAATTTTGAAATTTGTCATTAGAATTATTATTGATCAAACAGAATCTTTGGTTTATTTAACGTTTTAAACTGAACTGGCGGCGGAAATGTAAAACATTTGTGAAAAATCTTTATAAAATTTACAAAAAAAATACTGGTCCAGGTGTACAACGGAGTACAACGTGAATATGTTCACTACTATTAGAAATATAAAAACTCAAGTAAATCCTGTAGTTTTAATGTCAGTCACAAAAATTATGTATAAAATGATCTAACGAACACATAACTAAGCATTAAGTCGTTTCATGCTGGAGTTATGGAAGAATTTAAAGTTGGACCCAGGGCACTAAACAGATGGATAAGAAAAGTTGGTTTTAAAGCTCATAAAAATAATAAACGATTGTTTTTAGTGGAGATACCATCCATTAAGCTAAGAAGAACAAAATTTTTGCGTGCATATGAGCACCCAAAAAAAAAAAAAATTATACAAACCCCTTTTTCTGGATGAAACTTAGACATTTAGTAAAGGCCTTATAGGTAATAAAACATGAAACGACGGTTCAACACAAACTACAATAAAAAAAACGGGAGAAGGATGCAGATTTATTGTGGTTCACGCTGACATTAACACGGACTTACTGAAGGAGCGTCTCTAATTTTTAATGCAAAAACAAAATCTGGCGATTATCATGATAAATGAACGAGGAAAATTTTGAAAAGTAGTTTAAAGAGCAATTAATAGTCAATCTTCTGGAACCGTCTCTTATTGGATAATGCAACTTACCACAATAGATTTATCGTGATTATTTTAGTTTTGACTTATATTTCTGCTTTATTTTTATAAAGAAATTCCTTGAAAGAGTTGGACAAAGGAAAAAATGGTGGCATGGTCAAACACAAAAAAGATAGATTATCCTGAAAAAGCGATGGAAGATCAGATTTGGAACACTGTGTGCAATAGAGTGCCCGAAAAATTGTCATAATCATTATGCTCACAAACATGGACATTGTGTCATAACTTAATAAGACTTCCGCCATACCGCTATCATTTTAATGCAATTGAAATAGTATGGTCGGAATGTAAACAAAAGTACGATAAAGCTATTCCAAAAACTAATGCTTTTCCTGTTGATGAGGGCAAGCTGATAAATAAGGTACCTTGGTTATTTTTCAATATAATTTTCTGACAGTTTAATGCATTTTTTGTATTTTGAAATTAATGAAAATAAACCATAAAAAAAAAAGTTTTTTTTTGCTTTCCAAAATACCGCTTAATTTCCCAAACCAGTTCGTCATCATCCAAAAATCTTTACCGCCGAATTTTGTTTTTTCAAATTTTTAAACACAAAATAATCGCAGGGTGTCAGATCAGGACTATGTATATGGAAGATTTGAACGGTAAATTAATTAAAACATGTTTGAACAACAACAGCCTTCTGCAACGCCGCATTGTCGTGTAAAAGCAGAATTTCGTTTTTGGATTTACCAGGTCCTTTTTCTAATATTGCTAATTCTAATCTCCTTAACATATCAGCATAGTACTTTCCTGTCATCGTAGTCTTATATTTATTTTAGTGATGTTTGAATTTGGACGACTCTCTTCCCTATTTAAACTGTTTGGACCAAAACTTGATAGTTTTACAGGATAACGAAGAATTGCCGTAAACCTCAGACATGCGTTTATTTATCTCCGTAGGACTATTTCCTTCTTTTGTGAAAAATTTTATCACTGCTCAATGTTACAATTACTCCATAGCCAAAAAACCCTTGACATTACACGTTAAAAAAATTTATAACAATAAATATAAAGCGAATTAATTCTCAATTTTTATGTAACAGCATTCTGACAGTTTAACGAAAAATATAAAGCAACTTTCGTTTTTTTCCAGAGCCTCCTTCATAGTTAGGTACCTTATTAATCAGCTTGTCCTCGTACTGAAAACTTGAGAAAATGTAATAAACCAAAACCCTAATATACACTGGGAAAATTAAACACACGAAAAAATCATAGATTCGGCGTGGCAAACGGAAAATATTTTGGACAATTGTGAAAGAAATCAAGTCATTATCAATGTTATTTCCATTTCAGATGACAGTGATAGTGAAGATGATGACAGTAGTGTTGATAAGTTAAAGTTATGTTAAAAATTATTATAATATTATAAAAAGGAGTATTTAATTAAAGAATAAAACTTATAATAAATTAGTCAATTAATTTTGAACTTCTGCAATTTGTATTGATATGTCACCATAGTAAGTTGTGCGTATAATACAAGAAAGTACATATTTTTGATCACTAAAAAAAAGTCACAGTCTAAGTGTTTTGAACACATATTTCCATGCCTTTATGTGAGGTGATATTGCCTATTTCTATTCGAATTTGGTTCTTGAGATCGTCCAATTTTGTTTGATCTGATAATACTTATGTAGATTTTGGATTTTAAATACCCCCATAAAAACATCAAGGATCATAAATCTAGCGAAAAGGTTGTCATGAAACTTGCTTCTTTGATTTGGGTATATCACTGCTTTCGTTGTTTGGAAACATAGCTGCAGAAGCGGGAACACACTCAAAACGTCAGAAATCTAAATGGACGATTGCCTAGCATTCCTGACCAGACAGTTAGTTTCTGTATGAGATTTTTGTGTCCAATGAGATTACCACTACCGACAATTTTGGCGATGAACGTTGATCGGTGAATAAAATCTGCGATTTACACGACTACTGCACTGCGATTATGTACAAAATAATTCCGGCGCAACTTGACTGGAGTCTGTCTTGAGTAACCTGGCTGAAAAAATAATCGTTCCCGACGGTGGGCTCTATTTAAACCCATACTTTCCTTCCGGAGGTTTCGTGATCGAGGTCTTTCTGGAATACCCATCGCTCGGCCGATGAGTCACACATCATCGGACGCACCTACTAGAAAACCCATGGGTGTCGTGCCGGGGCGGGGTATGGGTTTATTTCCTAACAATGGTAAAGGTACCTTCATCGAAAAACAGAATACCTTGGAAAATTAAGTGTTCCCCACAGCGAGACATCAACTCTTCGCAAAACTCTAAGATATTGTCTTCATTTAACTCATGAATTAAGCGATTTCTCTTTTTTAAACGGTTTAGTAACAAATCTGTGGTCGGTATTTGAGTTTAAAGCAAGTTGCCTGACACCTATACGGTTTTTCTCGGTTTCTCATAAAATATTTAAGAAAATTTTACCTGTTTTTATTTTGAAAAGGCACTGAAATATACTTTAATCCAAGAAGTTGGTATTTATACTCAAAAGGTTGGGTTAAACCTGCAATTGAACAATTAAATAAGTTTAATTAGCGTAAGTACTGTTGAAAATGGCTTCCTTCCTGCGCAACACATTTCGATGCGATTTAACTAAGACAACAAGACGCGAGCAAGTGTTTCAGGAGCTAATTCTGGTTTTTAAATCTTCACAATTATGAACAGGACTTTGGTAAACTTGTTCTTTTACAACCCCCCAGAGGAAGAAATCTAAAGGTGTTAAGTCGGCACTACGAGGGGGCCATGTATTCACACTGCCTCTGCCAATCCACTTATTTGCAAACGTCCTTAACGGCTCTGTGATAATGAGGTGGTGCCCCGTCCTGCTAAATCCACAGTTCTTGTCGGAGATTGAGAGGAACATTTTCTAATAACCCCGGAAAACCATTTTGAAAAAATTGTCGATACCTCTGTCCTGTGTTACGTTCCCTTCGAAGAAGTATGGGCCAATTACGTAATCTGCAATAGTACCAGCCCACACATTTATGGAATAAACATTTTGAAAATGAGCTGTTCTGATCCAGTGTGGGTTATTTCGGGAGTAATAGGGACAGTTGTGCCGATTAACAATCCCGTTATTGCCAAATTTTGTTTCATCGCTGAACAAAACTTTGAATAAAAAATTGTTGCTCAACTCTAGTTGATGTTGCATAAAATTGCAAAATTGTATTCTTCTGGGAAAGTCTTCTTTTAGATCTTGTACTAATGTCACATGGTAAGGGTGGAACTTATTCGTTCTCAAAATTTTTGAAACGGAAGATTGAGATATTCTTATCTGCCGTGCTACAAATCTTTGGTTCACATGAGGGTCATGGCCTACGGCTTGAATTACACGAATTTCATTTTCGACATCAGTAGCCGTAAGTCCTCTATTCCTTGTTTCTTTCGGCCAATTTTGTCTTAACGTTTTTTAAATATCTAAACATTTGGTCTGATGGATGTCGCCTATCGGGATATCTCGTTTCGTAGAGATTTGCTGCTGCAACGCCATTTTTTCGGCAATCTCCAAAAATCAAGATCATATCAACCATTTCATCGTTCGTCTAT